CATGTTGAAAAAAAAAGCTGCAACTTTTTAAGGATATGTGTACTGATGGGAATGTGATGGCTGGGATTGCTGATCTCTTTTGGAAAATGTTAGCTGCTTGGCTTTCATGCTGTTACAATGGCTTCTGTTCTTTCTGACCCAGGACAGGTCCAGAGATGAGTTCTCACTCCACTCTGTGTTGGCTGAATACTGGCACTTCTGTGTCACTGACTTCTTATTGAAGCCAGGAAGAGATGTCAGCAACAGTGCCTCAATATTTCTTTCTGTTCAGATTTCCTTTAAATGAATATTCTACAGTCTTGGGTGCAAACATTTTTTCTGTTGAAGAAAAGACCATGAGAGAAATTTTTAATTGAACAACAGGTATAGTCTTCATTCTCAGTGACGTCACCGGTCTCTAGTGAATGGATAGGCTGCATTCTCAGTGATGTCACCGGTCTCTAGTGAATGGATAGGCTGCATTCTCGGTGATGTCACCGGTCTCTAGTGAATGGATAGGCTGCATTCTCAGTGATGTCACCAGTCTCTAGTGAATGGATAGGCTGCATTCTCGGTGATGTCACCGTCTCTAGTGAATGGATAGGCTGCATTCTTACAAAGATTCCTAAAATGTCTACTAGTCTTTTTAAAATCCATTTCCACTCTTATGTATTTGCTTTTATAAGAAAATAAAAAATCTCGTATGTTTTCTAGGAAAAGTTCTCATCCATGGCAATGCAGGGATTTCCAGGAGTGCTGCCTTGGTTATTGCATATATTATGGAATCTTTTGGTATAAAATACAGGTAAGTGCCATTTTTTTTCTGCATGTTGGGAGCACTATATAAACCACTAGGTGCTCGTTGTGCTTGTATTCATTTGAAAATACAGTTTTGTGTCCAATGTTCATCTGATGAATTCCAGGCCCAGGCTGCACATAGGGCCTCTACTTCTGGCCAAGTCTACCCTAACCTTGCTCCAATGCTGGTGCTAAGCCCCACTTCTTGTAATTCAACAGACCAATGCAAAAAGCTTAAGAGAAAGTGGTGGCTTTGTCACTGGGCTAGCATTTGGCAGAACCTGGCACCATTGGGTGGAAATTAGTGTCACCTTGTCTAGCCATCCAGACTCTGACTAAAGCCTTGGTTTAAGATCCAGAGGCTCCACGAGAACAAGACACTATGTTGAGGAATAATCCAGATACGTGTAAGCACTGCAACCTGTCTGGACTTTAGCATTATTGTCAGCAGATATACTTGCTTCCCTTACAGGGTCACTTTAAGACACAGCAGTGTTTCAACAACACCACTTCATCAGGTGATCACTGTGCGGTGACGATGGCCACAATCTCGGACCTTGTCCCATTAGTGGTGGAATGTATTGAAGGCATAGCCCACTTTTTGGACCATGCTTCATGTTGCACCAATATTAAGGGTGTAACATGAAGCATGCAGACACCTTTCCCAAAAAGCCAAAAACAAATCGCCATTCATTCCTTATCAGCATTTTTTTTTTTTCTGATTTAGCGAGACTCTGCATGGCTCCATTCCCCCACAGTCATGTGTCCCATTCACAAGGATCACTGAATAAAAATACTAGAAGTCCCATCTACTACAGCAGCAGACGGACTCCGCAGAGCGCACATGCAGCAGGGCGGTGACTTCACCGCAGTTGGAGTCCAGCAAGCACTGGCAATAGAAGGTCTGGGATAAACAATGCCATAGCTTGTGCATTGCACATACGCTGCTTCCAGTGCCTTGTAGCTGTTAGCTTGCTTATTGGCGCAGTTCATTCTTTATATTACATACGCTGCACTGATCACAGTTGCAATACTCTGCAGGCCTCAATGCTAAAATATATAGTAATTGCACTTTTTATATTTTATGAGTTTTGGTGCATTTACAAATTTTTTTGTAAAAGGTGTACTATGTCTTTAAAGTGATATTAAAGTCAAAATAATTTAAAGCTTTTTCAAACGCTGATGAAATCGCTTACAATAAATGGATGCTTCTTGATTTTTTAAGTTTTATTTTACTGCAGAATCAGCTGGTCCCCTAAACAATGGTCTTGACTTCCTGTTTTGGAATGACTCCTTTCTCAAGTAGGGGTGCTATGGAGCCACCCTTGTGTGTGCTAGTAAGCTGTGTGTGTCTCCACAAACACACAGACACAGCAAATCAAACTACTTCGCTCCCCCCTGGCCCCTTCTCCTCCTTCCTCCGTTCTCTAAGGTAGTAGGTGATCTTGAACTGGACAAGGAGGTTCAGGGAAGCTGAGCTGAGAGACTTGGAAGCAGCTGTTCAGAAACATAATCATTGTATGTGTTTGGGCAAAAATGTAAAGCATTGCTTTGGTGGGCGATGTATATTTGTTCTGGATTCATTATTGAAAAAAGTTTGAATGTTTACTAATGCGTTAACATGTCTGTGCACGTGGAGACACATTGAAAGTCTTCTGCCATTACTTACATTGAATACCGTTTCTTAGCACTGATTTTGTGGGGACATTTAGCCTGACATGTACTGTACCACTTCAGCTATAGAAAAATGTATTTAAGATTGGATTTTTTTTTGTAATTTAAGTCAAAGGCTCTTACAGTTGGGTTGACGAGACCCAGACCAAAGCAGCTAAGTTATTCAGAATCGCATGCATGTTCTGTTCTGATGACATGCATTATTATCATTGAACTGCTTACGTACTGCTGCCTTACTGTTTCCATAGTTTCTGGTATCTAGTGAAAGACGTCCATTTTAGATGACTTTCTCTTCCGTTCTCTTACAGGGACGCTTTTACATATGTGCAAGAAAGAAGGTTCTGCATTAATCCCAATGCTGGATTTGTTCACCAACTTCAGGTACGGAGGCGAGGTTGGAGAATTAACCCTATGCCGTTTTCAGGGCCCTGATGCTAAATGCATCCAGTTCTACCCTCCGTGACGTCACCACACCCAGAAGCAGTGTAAAGGTGGCCATACACTGTACAACCCTCGCAAGACTTTTGTCTTGCGATGGTTGTAAGCTGATTAAAAGCTTGTACGATCTGCCTATCTTGGACAGGCAGATCATACTTGCGATCATCGCTTCCGATGACGGTAATGAGGGGCGGGCTTCCGATGACGGCAAACGGGCAATGTGCGCGTGCGCACACCGGCCCGTTTGGCAGTTGTGGAACAAGTAGGCCACTAACCCGGCAAGAATTGTACCATTCTCGGCAGGTTTTCAAGCCTGCTTGTTCGACGGAAGATGTGCGACCGTACAGTAGAAACGGTCGCATGCCTTCCATACACTTTGCGATTTATCGTACGATCGCAGGATTTTCCTGCGATTCTCGTACGATTGTACAGTGTATGGGCACCTTTAGCCTGGCTATACACTAATGGATATATTTTGTTTAGCTTGTGTGCTGAACAAACCACCTAACCCTGCCGAAATTCAACCAGTGCATGGCCAACTTACTGCTGTGCCCCCGAGTAAACACACAGAAGTGCCATCACAGCTGAGGTCTCTCCCTGCACCTCATGTGGCAGTGGTCTGTGAGTAAATAAACAGCAGTGGTGCCACGTTTGCCTGTCCCTGAGCAACTAAAGACAGGTAGGAGTCTTGAACTGTCCAAAATTTTTTGCAGGCTAATTGTATCCTTTGTCTGTTTTGCAGGAATATGAAGCCATTTATCTAGCAAAATTAACCATTAAAATGATGTCGCCTCTGCAAATAGGAAGGAATTGTTCTTTACAATCTGGTGCTACTGGTAAGTGTCATTCTAATGTGTAGGGCCTTGTGTGTATAGATGGGGTTCAGGCTGTATATGAGCAGTGCGTACAGTTTGCTTTCTGCTTGTGCTGCGTTCTTACAGCGGTGCGTCATGTCAGCGCTACAGTGCACCTATGGACGTATGCTGAGGAGATTGAGCATTGCTGATTAGTGCGCTGTAACACTGACCTATCAGACCGCTGTATGGATAGAGAATCTCTCACACAGAGCAGCAATACTGATAGGGAGAAACAAAGCACTGTAAGGATTGATACTGAGAAAAATTAACCTTTTAGAACCGTGGTAAATGTTTCTGCCCTCCTTTTTTAATTTAAGTTCTATTTGGCTTTTAAAGCTGACGTTTTAATTTTCTTATATTTTGCCATCCTTATTTTAGGCCCAGTAATGTCATGTCTGGGTCTCTCTACTTCTTTCTCTGTACAATGCAGATAGATCATGGCTGGCAGGGTGCTGTGATCAGTACTCCTCGAGCCCTCCAGCCCTGATGCAGGCAGTGGCTTGGCTCTTGGGGGAAGTTGTGCAAGTATGTCAATGCCTTGATGAGCCTCAGTCTGGTGGAGTGGACGTTACTAGGGCAGGCCTCATTTGCATGCAGACTGATTAGGTAAATTCCCACATGTGATGCTGAGCCTCCATGATTGTTAGACCTGAAATCCAGTGAAGGAAAGGAGCGGACCAGTAATGCTGTAAAGGACGGATCTTCTAGATCAGTGGTTCTCAACCTGTGAGACCCCAGGACCCACATTTGTCCACGGTCATGAAGTCACGACCTAAGTCGCACTGCAATAGAATGCACGGCGGTGTGGGCTGCTGTGCTGTCATGGAGCTCCATCCATACGTGCATTGCTTGTACAGCTCCCATGCGCACCAAGTAGAGGTGACAGGAGCCAGAATGTGATGTCACCCCAGTCCAGGCATCTCTACAGAACATGCGAGGGAGCTGTAAGCAATACAGGTTTGGATGGAGCTCCCTCGCTGCTATACCCCCAGCCCAGCCCAGCCCACCTCAAGCTGACACTAAGTGCCGAGCAGCATATTTTGAATGGCTGCTCGGTGTCAGAACCGTCAATGCTGCGCTAGGGGGAGGCTAGGGAGAGGCTGAGGAGCCTCTCACCTAGAAAAGAGGATAGCATGCGGCGACCCACTGAACATGGGGTCGCGACCCACTTTTGGGTCACGACCCACCAGTTGAGAACCAAGGTTCTAGATGATGCTGATTGTCCTCCAGCCAGGAAATGAGGCGGGCTCTATCTGATTTGCTGCAGCTTCTAATACAGATTGTGAGACGCTCACGTTGTGTGCAGTGAAATCAGAGTAAACCTTTCCATTCAGGAGAGAAGCCGGTACAACTATAGAAGGCTGGACGTCAGCTTGCTGCACTAAAGACCAGTCACTGCTGCTCTCTCCTTTGTGCAGGGTGACCAGTCTTTATTACAGGTGGCAGAGACGAGACCAGTCACCCTGCACAAGGAGAGAGAGCAGCAGTGAGCGGTCTATACTACAGGAGGGGGGCGGAGATGAGACCAGTCACCCTGCACAAGGAGAGATAGCAACAGCGAGCGGTCTATACTACAGGAAGGGGGCGGAGAGGAGACCACTCACTGCTGCTCTCTCTTTGTGCAGGGTGACTGGTCTTGTCTCTGCCCCCCTCCTGTGGTTTTCTACGGGCAGCCTGTAGCGGGTGGTACCTGCTGGGTACCTTCCACAGTTCTGCTCCTGCCCTGGCTATGTACAGCACAGGGATGATGTCACTGCTACTTTTATGTGTTTGCAAAAGCATTTGTGACTATATATTTAAATAAAGGTTTTTGTGTTAGGAGATTAGCTGCGACCTTTCCCTATTCATCCATATTTTTTTTTTTAAAAGGTTGGCATTAGAAATGAGATATTCTATAAGGCTCATGTGTACAGATGTATATGATGTATTTATTTATTTTGCATTCAGGAAGCCTGAAAAGGACTCTCGAGGAGGATGACGAATTTGGGAATATGCAGATGTCGGTAGCTCACGACGTGTAAACCTAAACCACACCTTGCTACACATTTTGACTCATTTCGGCCATGTTTTGTCCGGGTGCTGCTGTTGTGCTTTAAATAGACAATGACGGGACTTTTCCACGGATAAACAGATGGCACTGATTGTTTTACTGCTTTTTACACAGCTGTTTTACTAAAGAGAAGAAAAAAAAAAAAAAGTTTTTCATTTGGATGTGCAACTTGGTATTACTGCAATAACGCACTTTTCATACTTTAAGTTTTTTCTTTTCTTTTTTGTATAATATTAATGCAATGCAACCGATGGGAAGGAAACCTGTTTCTATAAAATGTAATTTATAAGGGGGAAAAAAAAAATAAGGCTTTGGTATTAAAAAAAACAAAAACAACCTGCTTTCCTATTTATAATGGTCTGGCCCTCTAGCAACTTCAGCGCGGAATTATAGCTAATTTGCCTACAAACGTCAGGTGGTCATATTTGTTTTCTTTTTTTTTTTTTTTGTAAATACATTTTTATAGGTTTAGAAGTTAAGAAATTTTTAAACTAACCGGATTCTATACAGATTTAAAAATAAAACACAAATTATGCTACTTGATCATTGGGTCAGATTGTATACTATTGAATAACCTTCTGTATCAAAGTTCTTTTTATTATGCAGTTTCTATCGTGGCGTTGGCCTACAGATTGTTCCTAACCGATTTTTTTTGTTCTGATGTTTTTCAAATAAACAGACTGTAAAGTAATAAAGTGTCTCCGGGATCTTGTGTTCTGTTCATGGTCACGTGGAAGCAGGTATGTAGTTTTTAGTGTATTTTCGGCTCAGAGGAAGACGGGAATGGGGAGGTTTCACTATACAATCTGGTGTTACAGGTTCACTTTGGAAATAGATACAGAGCCAGGTGCGAGGGCTCAGCTCACTAGACTCAAATTGTAACTGAAATGTCACATTACTCGGCCTTTAACAGCTATTGCACACAATTCTTAAAGTGACAGTCAAAGTTTTTTTTTTTCTCCCCCTTCCCAATTCTGCTGTAGGGACTTACCTTAAATTTAAGTCTCTTAATCCGAACGTCTACTGTCCTTTTCAGCTGTTCCTCCAGTGCTGACTCCTCTGTCCTCCTCTTCTCTGATGTCCCACGGTGTCTGTGCGGGCGCACGCTGCTCCATAGACTTACCTTGTGTCTCTCCTCGTCTCCCGGCCGAACATCTGAAGTGCGCAGGTGCCCGCCCCAAGATCCTTTGCGGCTGCCCGAGACTCTTCAGATGTTCAGACGGGAGTGTGCGGCAAAGACACAAGGTGAGTTTAAACCCTTTTTTTTTTTTTTTTT